TCCATAAAATGGTGAGTAATTAAAATAAAATGTGTAAAATATGCATTTTAAAACAGAAATAAGGTAATTAAAGTATATATATAAAAATATCTATAAAGCATAAGCTGTTTAAATACTCTATAGAGCATTATTAAACAATGCGTTGATACTTCGGAAATTTCATGGATTTAGGCTTAGTAGCAAAAAAGTCCCCGGCCCTGGAGAGACGCTCGCGTAAGACACTGCCAGCCTCCGCGATAAGCGCGCGTTTTCGCTACCCGGCTCGAAGGGGTTAAAACACTATAAAAATATATTAAGAATACTTACTACTTAACTACACTTCTACGAAATGCTCTACAGTTTTTCGGGATAACAGACTCAGGTAAGGCTTTAAATTTGAGGCAAAAAATCTAGTAAAAGTCAAGATTAGCATTGGATTCAGAAATGTATCTGTGTCAGGCAGAAAAATCAAACATATGATGATCTAGAATTAGTTTAAAAGGTATTATTTATTTTATGTATTTATATAATTGTTTTAAGAAACGTACAAATTTTAAACAATAAAATTAAAATTGTATGTTATAGATAAGAAGATATACTTATTAATAATAATATAATACATTAATTACTATGTATACATTAATACAATTAATTACTATTATACATTTTTCTTGCCTTGGATGAAGCAAATTTATCAGTTACTTCATCAAAGTCGATCATTTCAAATTTTTCTCTTTCCACATTTAAAAATGATAGATCACTTAGGCGATCTTGCCGCATGAGTGATCGTAAATATGTCAAAATTAATTTTAATTTGCTGAACGAAAGTTCATAATTAGCATTTGATAATGACATAGTAAGGAGTATTTGAAGTGCGACTCTTCGGTTTGGAAAAAACATTTTCTCCATACGATATTACAAAAGTAAGATTTGTAATGGAGCTTTTAGGTTCAGTTTCTTTTCTCCTGCTGAGTAATATTTTGCAGTCACATATTCTGCACAAAACAATTAGGGATATGGTGAGTTCGGTATGAAATAACCATACAATCAACAACTGTTTTAACAAAAGGAAATAGAAGAGTTTATAAAGGAAAATTATAACGTTTACAAAGTTGGGAATATGCAAATATAGTCTGTGACATCGAAAACTATGCGTTTTAGATAAGGAGTGAAAAGCGAACTGCAGCATTCCTTTTGTAGTAGGAGATACAAAACAATTGAAAAGCATTGAATGTTTCGTAGCAGTGAATACGATGTCTCTGCAAGATGACTTAGCTGAATCGGTAGCTTGGAAGGCCATCGGTCATTTACAGGAGAGTCAAACGCAATCCATTTTAGCGAAAGCGGTAGGAGTTTCCCAAAATCAGACTATGGAATCGGTTTTTGGAATTTATAATGACGAGGAATTTGATTTAAATCATACCAAGATGTACATCGAGATGAAATACTACATTTAGTAAAGAATTATAAGCCGAATAAAATAAAAACATCTGCCCTGAAGATAAGGATAGTGCTGATAAATCAACTTCCAGTTAATTGTGCACCGCGTCGCCCCCCCCCCCCTACACACACACACAGAACAGCATGAAATTGATAAACATATTTCGGAATGGTTAGAGAATCAAAGGATATGCCTTTATCCATTTTTTGCAGCAAATCCACTTATTGTTTGATGGACATCGAAACATGCTTTCACTTTGTAGATCCTTTGGTAGCTCCAGAATCGGAAATTCTTTTTGACATAATTGAAAGTTCAAGCTTACTTTTATAAAATTACTCTAATAGTCTGCAAAAAATAATAAGCCAGATCCAATTCGAAGATTAAGGAACAACGCAATCCACAACATTAACTGAATTAGATAATTTTAGCTTAGCTTATAATGTCTGTTATACATTAAACGCGCATGCGTTGACGCATGTGCAGAAAGTTTGTAGCTTTGAGGTCCGAATTATAGATCATTCTGGATTATGGACATCCGGATTAAAGACTTCTGACTGCACTCCATTCGAGCATGAAAGTGTTCTCAGCATAAACATGTTCTTCTGCAATGGATCCCTGGCCATTGTAATTTGCATGATAATGAACAAGCAGATTTTCTTGCCAAAAAGGATGCCATGTTGTTACACAGTACAAAACAAGAAACCTCTTTCCTCACCTCTAAACTATCAATAAGATAATTTGTGCAATTGACATATCAGAATGACAGCTTCCTTCCTGTGCAAAAGCCAAATATAGTAGATGTACATGATAAACCAAGATAGGAGGGCAATGGCTGCTTTTCGACTACTTACTGTGCATGGTTGCCTGGCTGCTCATCTGTGTCTTACCGGCATTTTTACTGATGCTGCCTGCAATTTGTGTGACAAAAACAAGCCTATGGATCAACATCACCTTCATTCTATGAAGCTCTCTATGGAGATACTGATGATTCTTAGATATTGGGAGGCTAGAAGACTCTTGAAGTGATAATCCCTTGAACTTTTTGTATCTATGCCCCCCTACTTGTTTTTACTTTTGTTCATGTGCTCCACCATTAGATATTTTTTCTTACTATGTCTGTCCTATTTGGCGGAGGCAGAGTGATGATATGGGCCGATATTTCTGTCAGTGGCTGTACCGACCTGCACATTATCAGGAATGGAGCACTAACAATTCAGCGATATAGGGATGAGATCCTCAGACCAATTGTGCTCCTTTACGCCATAGTAATCAGGGATGAATTCATTCTCATGGATGATAATGCCTGGCTCATCCTGCTCAGCTAGTGAATAATGTTTTTTCCGACGAAAGAACCCTTCAAATGGATTGGCCTTCTTAGGTATGAATCAACAGAACACGTTTGGGACATTCTAGGGAGAAGGGTTGCTAGTCGCTTATCACCTCTAGAAATAATTCAGCAGTTAAAAAGCTGTCTTCTACACATTTTTTGTTTAATTGTATAATATGCATAAATTGTACATTTTTTTAGTTACTGACACACTTTGTCCAAAAAAAATTAAGTATTCCTTGTTCATTGCTCCTTTTCCCTTTCTCATATCTTACAACACCTATACAACATATACCACTCACCAAAACATTTCCTCATCCACAGTTATATGGAAAATCATAATATCTCCTAACTGTTTTGAGCAAAATATTTCAACATAAGAGTTCTGATCCATTAAAGTCTGTATTATAAAAATCCACCCTAGTTTTTACGGTTCTTTCCAAGATCATTATGAACATTATTCTTGCTTAATAAATTTTCAATGTTCAATAAATATCCAAATTTGGAATTAAGATCACTTAATCTTCTAAATCATATACTTATTTCCTGCTGCAGATGATCAGAAACGCTTTTCATAAAGCGAGAAATTTCACTTTTCTGCAGAAAGGCCAATATCTCTAGCCAATTCTTCGATCATTTTTCGGCGTTTTCTGGTGACATATGAATTGATTCCAGTCACAATCAACCCACCGGTTCCTGGTGACCAGTAATTTTGATGAGGAAGAGCTTATAATCATAAGCCAATGACTATTTATTTTCATTTTAATTTAATAAAAGTAATACTTGTATGTAGAATTACTTCTATGTGGCAGTGCAATAAAAACAATTACTGCACCAGTCCATACAAGTGATCATCAACCTCTTGTATGAAATAAGCACTGGTGACCAACAGCCTTGATGTGGATCGGTACACTTCAATTTAATATTAATATCTATTTTAATTATTGTACTGCCCCCAGTAACCCACAACCTGTAGATCATTGGTAACTTCGATAATACCTATTTAAATGCATTAAACTGCTCCAGAGTGACAAATCTGATGCTATTTTCAACCTCTAGATCACTGATGATTAACAGCTTTGAAATTGCAACAGTATGTTCTGATATAAATTTAATTTTAAAAATCTAGCTAAATTTAATGTACTGCCCCACAGTGGAGACCTATGGCTTGACCCTAAATGTCTCACAACCTGTAGGTCAACAGTGACCTGCAGCCTTCAAAGGCACCAGGATTCTTTCATTTAATTAAAAAACATATTAAGATTTATTCTCTCGTTTTATTTGGAGGCTTCAAAAAGACTGCACATTGCCTGCTTGCTTTCAATATTGTCACAGGGGTCTTGTACACCGTTTCATGGTTTGGGCAGCCATTGGGTACACGATATGCACATCTCTAATTCAGATCGACGGGAATTTTAACACAGATCGGTACATTTCTGACATCTTATGTCCAGTGGTTGTGCCTTATCTTCCAAGGCCTGTCATCAAACGTCATCTTCCAACAAGATAATGCAATACCACATATTGCACATTTGTGTTCTGACCTTCCTCGATACACAGGGTACTCAATTGCTGCCCTGGCCTGCATGTTCTCCAGATCTGTCACCCACTGAAAACATCTAGTCATGGGTTGCTGAGAGACTGGCTCACCACCCCTCTCCAGCTAATATGATTGATGAAATGTGGCATAGACTTGAAGCAGCATGGAGTGAGTTGCTCGTTTCTTTCATCCAACCCAGTTCGACTCAATGCCTAACCGGGTAAAGGTGATTTTAGCTACCAGGGGTGACAGCTGTTTCTACTGATTTTGCACCCCTGTAAATCCTCAAAGAGCTTACAAATTTAATCATTTAATCTTCATGCTATTCAGTTTACATACAATAAATACCTTTTTTGTATTTGCTTTCCTTCATGGTGTTGCAATTTTAATGGCCAGCAGTGTATAATTTAAACCTGCCACCCCTTGTGCTGACTATTTTTATTCTTCCTCCCCCCCTCTGCTCTTGAAAATAATATTGTAATATAAATGTGACATTCACACTTATTATTCAAACTAATACAGCGAATGAATCTTCTGTGAAATAGAATAATCACCTGTGAAAGCAACCACACATCAAAATCCTCTACAACCACAAATAGTCATTTTAGAGAGCTCAAATGTACTTTGTAACAAAGAATGAATACAAAGCAGCCACAGTAATAATTATTTCTCGCTATGGAAAATTCATAGGCATAATTATTCATAAAATTTATTGTTCTTATAAAAAAGTTATAAATCAAACATTGCATATATATATTATTATAAAATTTGTTTTATATACAACAACATATATCACTTGACTTTTGAATACAGTAATTATTTTACATTTTTCATAAATTTCAGCTTTCCCCATTTTACATAAATGCAGCACAACAAAGAATTATTCTCACAGTAATTTTGCTCAGTTATTTCTTTTTTGGCGTTATTTTCTAAAAAAAATAAAATAAAAAATATTAGTGTTTTACAAAACTAACATTTTTAACTGTTTAAAGCTGAATATGGGGGGGGGCTTTGAAATAAAAGATAAAAACAAAGTTTGCAAAAATAAAAAATGTTAATGATTTTTAATACAGTGGTACCTTGGTATAGGTCCACTTTGATGTCTATCCTGTTTGGACATAAAAATTGTTATATGAATCAAGTTTGACAGATCCTGACTGCATGCACTACACTTGTTTACCTTTTTTGAGAGAATGCGACAACTTCCCATGAGCGTCAGTACACCATACTGCTACTATTCAGGAAACAACCCACACTATAACTCTGAATTTTCATGCGGTTTGTGTTTTTAGTAAATTCATTAACATTGAATTTTAGGAAAGTTAATGAGAAAAGTAAACAATGAAGAAAATTATTCGGGTCTCCATAGACGTGAAAAAAGAGATTGTTAAAAATTAGAATGGTGGCATGCGAATCCAGGACCTGATTATTGAACAATATATGACTTGTATGATAGTATCTACAACTGCGAGAAACAAAAACTACATTAAATCTGCTAATCTTGCAAAAGGGATGAAATTAATTACTAAAAGATCAGAAATGCTAGAGCATGTTAAAAATTGCTTTTAATCTGTATAGGAAAAAACATTTATCTACAGTATGATGTGCAGTTCTTCATTTATGTACAGTATATATTTTACCTATTTGTATTAAATGGTGTTTTTTCATTATTTTCTTTTAGTTTTTTTTATTATTTAACGGACATTTCTTATTGGAAAAGTTTGTTCAGTATATGTACAAACCCTAAACATCCCCATACGTCCTAGAATGGATTAATGACATATACCAAGGTACCACTATATTTGTTTACACATATCAGCAAACACATATTAATAGCAGAGTCAAAAAGCAGCAAAATGTATGAGATACGGAATTTTGGGTACCTATTATTTCAGAAATCACCCAATTTAAGATCACCAACTTAAATTCAACAAGATGACATGTAAAAATTATAAAATTAAAAACTTGATATAATTGTTTATATCATAATGAAGCATTTGTGATTTTAAGGAAATAAAAATTTACACAAAAAGTGCAATATTTATTTGTCTTATTAAATATTTCTTTCAACGTAAGTTGTTTAAGTTGTCTTATTTTTTCTGCTAAAGCTTTCTCTTTAATTTCATACATAGACATAATATCTGGTTCATTTACAAAGTTTCACCTCTAACTGGCATATCGAGAATTCCATTCAACTGGCAATCAAGATCTTTAAATTCTTTTAATCTTTTTTTTTTTTTTTTTTTTTTTTACTTTACTTCCTCCACTATCAGTAGCGATAATGTCTGGATTTGGTACAATATCGACAGATTTCACTGTCTGTTAGATGACTAATAAGAGGCACAGTCATCGCAACAGAAAACTTTCATTATATCATCTTCCTTTATTATACCTTTTTCACTTTTCTCCACAAATTCCATTAACTGAAAATTTTAATCTTTTGCTTGTGATATTCGAACATCTCAAATTTGTGGCCTTCATCATGAAAAATAAATACATTAGCGGACAAAGTTTTTTTTTTTTTTTTTTTTTTTTTTTTTAAATATCCTCAGATGTGCAGCAGATTTTGTGTTAAAATATTTCAAAAATTCTTTAATGGTCTGTCTACAAAATGTGGAATAGATTTTGAAAAGGCTGCTTTATATTTGCATTTCAACGACAAAGAAATTATCTTTTACTAAAACTTTAAAAGAAGTATGATCCAGATGTTGTCTATAATCAGGACAATTTATTTATACACAATCGAGTAAACCAATTCAATTCAAATATTGTCAAATGTTGAGTATGGAACAATTTTCAAACTAATCAGTAGTTCATGCTTATCGTTCACGCTCTTTTATTTGAATGATAAATGATGGGGGAAATCTTTAATCCTTTAATTGAAGTCATGTACTTTTTCAGTTATGAAAAGTTTACATTTGTCGATTCCTGCAGTATTTCACAAAATCATTATTCTTGATATTAGTTGGGGGCCTTTTCTGCAGAGGTTAAGATATTTCAGACCACATATTACCAGAAAGATGAGTTTCATCAACATTATAAATTTGTTCTGAAAATAAGTTGTTGCTATTAATGTGTTTAATGAATTCATATGCAAAATATTCAGGTGCAGCATATATCAGCAAAAGACCTTTACTCTGAAATTTCTAGCTGCATTACACCATGCTGATTTTAACTAACCAATATGGCAAATATGTGCACTCACTCAAGTGCATTTCTTCATGAAACATTTTGGCCTGAGTCAATAACATAGGAGCCTCAGTGGCATACTGTTGTTGTGATGCTTTCACACTCATTCAATCATCACTTTGTCAGGTTCATTACTTTTAACATGATGAATGATTTGCTTTGAGTGGAGTGTCAAGGTCCACAATTTTTTTTTAAAGTTTTTTTGGGGAAGGAGCATCAGGTGACTATTTATTCAGTTAATTAAAGATGCATTGGATAAAAAGACAGATGTATATGTTGACTTCAAGAGCACATATGATTTCATCTGGAAGGAGATTTTCTTCAAAAAAATTGCTGAATTTCGATCGTTTCTTGGTCAAAAAACATGTACAGTCAAATAAGAAAATGAATTTTCAAAGTATTTTAACATAAAAACTGGACTCCCCCAGTGAGCTGTAAGTAGCTGCACCTTCTTCAGTGTCTATATCAATGACTTAATTGAGCATCTAAAGGCAATAAATATCTTTTATTAGTGTTCTGGACCCAAGCACCCAAGAAAAATGGGAAAAACCTTTGTTGAGAAGCAAATCAACAAAGCACTTTATGTATTTTCGACTGTTAGCTTGGAAAAAACTGTTATGCAGTTCATTTTCTTAACATACCAGAGTTTTTGTCCAGATCTGAAACAACACCAATGCATATACGGATGTTTTTATTTATTAAGGTGCAACATCTGACATAAAATTGCTTTGAAAGAAGCATATTGAATCAATTTCAGAGCAGTTCTCAAAAAGACTGAATATATTGAATTGTTTAGCAAGAGCCATGTGAGGTGGTTCCTCCTCCACTATCAATATTATTTATAAAATCTTTGCATTGCTGCTTTTGACATACTGTTACAAACCATTTACACAATCAACCCATCAAAATATTATTCAACTTAAAACTATGTAAAGAACTTATTAAACTTGAGGATACATTTTGGTGAAATTATTGATATGAAAATAGAAACCCAGGACGGATTTTCCCAAAAGGTTTTGGCCCATAGAGAAATCTTTGAAATTTCATGAAGAAGTCAAACTGTTAGAGAAACCCAGAAATTCCACTGAATTGATGGGTCAAGTGGCAAACTTAGATTTGGCTCAATTCATATTAAAAAAAGAATACTTCACCGGATGTACTGAAATGTATAGCTTTGGAGACTATTAAGACTAATAATAATAAGTGGACAATAGACTGAATAATAATAATAAGTGGATAATAGACTGAAAATAAGTGACTGCATGTTTATACAGGTGGGGTCTCAGCATAAACATGCTCTTTTGCAATGGATCCCTGGCCATTGTAATTTGCATGGTAATGGACAGGCAGATTTTCTTGCCAAAAAGGTTGCTATGTTGTTACACTGTACAAAACAAAACCTCTTTCCTCACCTCTAAACTATCAATAACATAATTTGTGCAATCGACATACCAGAATGAACTCCTGAGCAAAATTGAAGCCAAATATGATAGATGCGTGGGATAAACCAAGATAGGAGGGCAGTGGCTGCTTTTCGACTACTTACTATGCATGCTTGCCTGGCTGCTCATCTGTGTCTTACTGGCATTCTTACTGATGCTGTCTGCCCTTTGTGCAACAAAAACAAGCCTATGGATCAACATCACCTGCATCCTATGAAGCTCTCTATGGAGATACTGATGCTTCTTAGATATTGGGAGGCTAGAAGACTCTTGGGTGATAATCTCTTGAAATGTTGTATTTATGCCTACCACTACTTGTTTTGACTTTTGCTCATGTGCTCCACCATTAGATTTATTTATTTATTTTTTAATATTGTACACTGTTTGACTTTCTAATGTCACATTCTTTGCATAATTTTACAAGAGACATGCCTGTACCCATTTTTTTGATTGATTGACAACAAATATGCTTTTACTTTTCAGATCCTGCTGCAGCTTCAGAATTTAAAACTCTTTTCAACGTAATCAAAAAATCCAAACCTTAATTCTAATATAATAGCTATAATAATAACAGCCTGCAAAAATAATATTAGAAAGTTAAGGAGCAGCACAATTTGCTATATTAATTGAGCTTAATTTCCTAGGAATCTTTGTCCCTTCCCTGCTGCTATTACCAGCAAAAGAAAACCAGTACAGGCAACACTCCATTCAAAATTAATATGTCTTGGGATTTCATTCATTATATAATTCAAACACAAAAATATTAACATCCGATAACCACTCAAGGGCAACTTCTTTCCTAGGAATCTTTCTCCCTTCCCCACTACTATACCAACAAAAGAAAACCAGTACAAGCAACACTCCATTCAAAATTAATATGTCTTAGGACTTTGTTCATTATATTATTCAAAAAGAAAAATATTAACACCAATTTTAACACCCTATAACCACTCAAGGGCCAGAAATTATTATGGTCAAGTCATTAGCCACAGTGCATTCCCTAACCAGAGGATGCTTGAAAGTAACATGGAATTTCAGTTAGCAGGGAGAAAAATAGCTTTTAGGCATATCTGATTTTTCTTGAGTACTATATTCTTCATTCTGTAATGGGGGGGGAGACAGTTTTTGTTCGTGGTCCAGAAGTCCTGATATTAGGTCATTCCAGATACTAGTCGCCTGTTTTTCGGACTTTCGACGGTATATTAATTTATAATGATCAAGTCATGAAATACATTTTTCCAGGATATAACTGAAAGTAAACAATTTCATACAGAATGCTCTGGTTATCTGACAGTATTAAAATAAAAATATATTATTAAATGAATTTTAATTCACAAAGATTAAATAATTTTAATTTGAAGAAAATGAAAGAATATATGTGATAGCAATATTTTTAATTAAAATATAAAAAAATAATTTTTACATTTTATACACAATTCAATGAAGCACGCTTACCTTGGCAAATTCTTTCACTTTTAAACGATTAGCAGCCATAAGTTTCCTTTTCTCTTCAGCTTCTTTCTTCTTTTTAACTTCTTCAAGATTATTCCATAATCTAAAATTTCCAATTGACAAAATGCTTTATATGATTTAACATAACTAAAACAAGTACTAGTATAAATTTGTAACATCCAAACATACCTTTTTGTATTCTTTTTATAATTAGCTACAGGACACCTTCGAAACTGTACATTAGCTATAAAGATAAAAACAAGTTATAGTTCCATGTTCAGTTAAATTTCCATACATATAAAAGTGACAAGCTCTAAGTCATACCGAAATATTATTAATTAAGTATATAAATTAAATATGAAAGTAATCCAGACCATCTTATGTCATTTGCCAAAAACTCTGTAAGACAGAATTGAGTGTACCACCATGACATTGCTCCTATTCACACCTGTAATGCTACAAAAAACTACTTAGATGTGGAAAGTGTCACTGTTCTTGAGTGGCCACCCAGTGAGCTCCAATCTTAACCCAATCAAGAATGTGTGAGAATGTCTTGGAAAGTTTACGAGGAGGAAAGGCAGTTTTCTGTGAATGCATTAAAAGCTGCATTCGAGAGTGCATGGTAAAATGTAAACTACAGTTGTTATAAAACTTAGTTCTCTCAAAGGAGAAACACATATTTGACATAATATGCAACAATGGAACAACTTTGAAGTGCTAAGTAATTTGAAATTGATCACAAGTTGTTAAAATACTAATATTCTATAAACTTTTGGGATGCATATTCTTCTATGTTTTTATTTTTTCTAAAACACAAACTGCTATTTTAGTTAAATATTTACTGGAATACAAGTTGCATGTGTTGTAAATAAACAGATTTTTATTTGGTGTTTATGTTCCTTTCCATTTTTCTAAAGCATGTAATAATAGTACTTGAATCTATAAACTTTGGGGACAGAGTGCATTCCTTTTTTATTACAGCAAAGAGTTCTGTGGTGGTTTGGGGGCAATTTGGTTTAGCTCTTATCTAGTCTTCTAACTTAACCCTAAGATGTTTAATTGGGTTGAAATCAGGGCTTCGGTCAGGTTGGTTAAGTTTATCCATTCTTGTGCCTTTTAACCATTCAGTTATGGCATTTGCTTTGTGACTGAGTAAACTATTGGATTCAAAATGGACTATTGGATTCCCACTAGGTAGGAAGCACAAAACTATCCAATATTGCCTCAGAGACCTCGACATTCATGATTTGAGTCACAAAATCAGCATTCAATTTAGTAATTATCGGGTCCATGTGGTTCAGTTCATTGACAGAATTTAAGTGCAAACACTTCTCAGTGAATGGTATGAATATCAGTATCATTTCCAGACCAGTCAAAAGTCTGAAGCTATGGACTTTCCCACATGTCAGAGGCATTGCTATTCCCTAACTGTAATTTCCATTTCAGACTATACAACTCATAATTGTTTTGGTATGTAGAATTTGCCAAAAACATGAGATATGAAATAACTGAATCTATAGAAATAACCATGCACAGACGTTACACTTTCAGCCTATATTAGCTTTCATCATTTATTTATTAGCTGTAGCTAATGTACATCTCGGCCAAATCCATTTCAATAGCTGTAGCAAATATACATATCTAAGATGCACTCACAATCTTTTCACATTCTTTTCAATCTTTTTCACAATTCTTTCTTACAACATAGAGATTTAAGAATTCTACCTTCCTTTCAAGAGGTGAATGAGCATTGATGGCAATAAAATGTATTAATTCTCAAACAAGAAAAACTAAAATTCTGAAACCTAATGAAGATATTGTTGTAAATATTTTATAACTTTTTTGGTTATTTTTTTCCCCTGTATTGTTATAGTATTTCATGCTATTTTATTTATTTAGTGTTTTTAAAATGATAATTTTAAAGTGTATTTGCTAAATAACCACATTCTCCTTGAAAAGTTACTTCAAGTTATTATTGTGCGCATATACTACATATTCTGCTTATTTTCCTAATAAATTGATCATTTCTTCCAGCTTATCTGGAGTCATTATTTAAAGAAACATTAACGATTCCAAAGCTTATGACAATATCAAGAGTTAAAATATTTTGAAGACTACTAAGGCACTTTATTTCAGAGCAAAAGACATAGAAACGTGCAACAATCTCACCAGGATTTAAATTCTGGATCTTCCTATTCCTAGCTGGCTGTGCTTCTAATTAGCACTATAAGGACATGCAGTAATGAGGAAGATAAACTTTACATTCACCCTCTCTTAAAGGGCAATTCAGAAAGCTGGAACTCAAATGCCAAGCCTGGTGGAAATGAATTGTTGTTCATAAACTTTTAGCTCAGGCACCACTTGTAGTCTTTTATAATTTTCTGAAGTCAGGTAACATAAGAAATCAATAATACCTTCATCAGGATTCAAACTCTGGACCTTCTGATGCTATCCAATTACATTACAAAGGCATGGCAGGGGTGGCCTAGCTCCTTGATAGTCGGAGCCATTTTTCAAAATTTGAAATTTTTCACGAGAGAAACATACATACATTCATGCAGATTCTTCATTATTTAATTTCTTTAAATATAATTAAATGTGATAATATTTGGTGGCAACAATTTGAAAGGTGATTCAACACGCTTAATGCAAAATGCCATTTTGAGACTAATAGCTCTCCTGGCCTAATAACAAGAAAATATAAATATAATAAAAAATTACATGCATATCTGCATGTTCAAATAATGGTGTTGCCGTGAAAAAATAAATATAATTTACTTATCGATACAGTCAAAAAGTCTTAATCGGACCCCATAATCCGGAATGATCTATAATCCGGACCTCAAAGCTACAAATTTTGCGCATGCGTTTACGCATGCGTACAGGCGTTTATGCGCTAATACGTAATACGCATGCGCGTTTAATGTATAACGGACGGTATAAGCTAAGCTAAAATAATCTATTTCAGTTAATGTTGCAGATTGTGTTGTTCCTTAATCTTCTAATTGGATACGGCTTATTATTTTCTTTTAGACTATTAGAGCAATTTAATAAAAGTAAGTTGGAACTTTCGATTATGTCAAATAGAATTTCCAATATATATTAACTAATATGTAATTTTTCTACAAAGCAAGTATGTTGAAATCCGAAATCGTTTATCAATTCATGCCGGATTGGAAGTTGATTGTCAGCACCTTATCTCAGGGCAGAGTTTATTTATTTGGTTAAATTCCTTACTAATGTAGTATTTCATCTCGATGTACTCCGTCTTTGATATGATTTAAATCAAGTTCCTCATCATTATAATTCGCTTTCGATAGTTGAAGAAAAAGACCCAGAGGTTATTGAAAACGAAAACATTTCGATTGACAAATTAGTCGGTATTCTCAACACAGCAATTATAGGACTTGAACAGCAGACTTTGTAACTAAACAAGAAATTATGTCTGTTTAATAGAATTAAAGAGAAAGTATTATCACATGAAACGAAGCAACTTACATTGAAAGAAATGTTTAATAAAGTAAACAAATATTAAGCTTTTTCTTTTTGTAAATTTTGATACCCTTTAGATCATAATTGTTCTTTATTTCATAAATTAGGGTTTCATATTTTTAATTTTGTAATTTCTGCATGCCATCTTCCCAGATTTAAACTGATGATCTATAATCCGGAAAAATCGATAATCCGGAATCGTCGAAGTCCTGACGAGTCCAGATTAACGACTTTTGACTGTAATACTAGTATTAACAGGAAATTTTTTTGTAATCGTTTTCATTTTTTAAGACATCCTTTTCAGAATGAAAAATGGTTCTGCATTTGCACAATCCTGAGTAAAGCACAGGTAGCTTAGGCTCTACATGTGAGAGCTTGCACCCTAATGCATTCCATAGTAAGAGTATTAGTCCACCAGGATGTGTGATTGGCTGTCCTGATTGATTATTTAAGTGTATAGGCTCGATTACAGACAGCTGTTATGTTACTTATCAGGTTTGAACAGAAAATGCCTAATGCAGCTCTGTCAGATGGGTGGGTTACAAGTATAGAGTAGCCTCCATAGATCATTTTATATCTTCTTTTAATGAATTTTGTGACTGGACAACCTAAACAATATATGATAATTTTATGATCCTTTGCTGAGTGAATATCTCCAATTGTACAATCCCATATGTAAGCAGCTGTGCTTGTTGTAGCAACAGTAAGATCTGGCCAGCCCCTTGAATGGTCCAGAAAATATGATAAGCAGTTGCTGCTTCACAGCAACAAAGTCCTGAAATGAGATAGTATAATGATCTTCTCTAGCTGTGCTCTAACACAGAGTTGTTTCATATAAGTCTCCTGCTACCATGCCATTAGTTGCTGCAAGGGAAATACCTGCCTCTAATTCCAACAGCAGTGAGTCTATGGCAGAACTGTGTAGGAAGTAAACACATGTAATATCTAACAAAAAGTTCTTCATCTTTAAAAGAATAGATACTGTATATTCTGTCCTCGGCACTTGCAGAAGAGAAAAAGGATCATTATAGACAATGGCAGCCAGTCTATTCTTGAAGAGAATGCTTGTGAATGGGATGCCAGAAATGCATCCATTGGAGGTATACAGTTCTTGGAATATTGCAATTTCTACTCCAAGCTGTACCATTACCTGGAAAACATTGATGATGGCAGAATTAGAACACTGCAGATTCTTTAAGATACACAAGCTACTTCTTTCTTTAAGCCACTTCTTTCTTTAAGCTACACAAAACAAGTATTTACAACCTCAAATACTCATTTTAAAACTTCTACGTTTTAAAACTTTTAAACATTTAAAACACTTTCTAAATGTTTACTTGTTTGAGTTTTTATTTTTGTTTGTTCTAATACCTTCTAGAGGGTAGCACTAATCAGGCATGCTATTTCTAATTGAATTTGCCCTGGGTTTTATGAATATTATTCGCGCCATTTGACATAAGACGCAAGACAGTGAGAGATGGCTTCAACATCTACTCAGCAGAAAAAGAGAAAAAATGAGGTTGTGAATTGGAAAGACAAGAAGGATATACGTTTGATAAGTACAGTCCATAATAACTCGATGATTGATGTTGGAACACGGAAAAGAACTGTAAAAAAACAAATAATTGTGAAAGATTACAACAAAATGGGAGGAGTGGACTGCCGGGATCAGATGTTATCAAATTATACTGCTGTTTTTAGAAATAAGCAGAGATATTATTATTTTTCCAATATGCTTTATTTCCTTATAATTTTACTCATCGACATTCATCCACTACGAAAGTCATGTATGGAAAGTTATGATGTACAGAGATAACAACATTACATGCTACAAAAAACAGATGGCCACTGGGGGGAAATTTTCGTGGACAGGAGAGGACGGCAAAAAGGTTTAAAAAAAATCTCTTTCCAGCTATGAATGTTTTGAGCTCTGAAAATAGAAATTTAAGATCACAATTTGATGCAGATTTGGTACATGTGGACAGATTTGGAGCTTCAAATATGAAACATTTTGTTGTGCAGTTAAACATGAATAAGCATCTATAAAATAACTCTTCCAAAGCACTAGAAAATATCCCCCAGTAACAATTCTGCCTTTTTCAAGATGGTCAATAAACAAAATTCCTTTAGCACTGAAAAATACTGATGTTATCACCTCTCCAGATTACTGGAAGGTTTACAGAAATGACTTACTTGGGTTTACTGTTTTAATAGTCATTTAGGCTCTGCTGAACTGTGTCAAATTCTAGTTTTATCCAACATAGTAAATTGTAAAAGATTCAAACATTCAGGTGCAATTCAGGCTCAAATGTGTTTTTTTTCTCAGGATGCAGCAAATGCACAAAACATTTTTTAGAAAGCTTTCTAAAGGTTAATTAATTTTATTTAGCAAATTGTGAAAGTGTGAAGCAAATTGCAAGTATTTCACTCACAGCGTTTTCAATTTCATGCACTTTTATTTGGTGATTTGCTAAAACCATATCATGGGTTCTATCACTTTTGATATGTTAGCCATTTTTTGATGCTGTTGAACATGCACCAGTCACGCGTATCACTACACTTAAATTCCAAAATCTAAAAACGTATGATGGAAAATGGACATGATGAATTACATTTTTATGGCAATTTTTCCTTAAAAACTAAAAACTCTAATGATCACAGAAGCATACTCTCCCCACTGCTCAAAACATGCAAAGCTATTTTATTAAGTGTGTTAATTTATTAAAACTGAATGATTTAAAAGATCTAAAAATTTCCTGTCAGTTCCTATGAAAGTATGATGAAAATTATTCAGGAAAAATATCTAGTGGTGATTTCAGAAACTTTTCAATTTATCAACATTGGATATACAGATTACAAATGTTTTAGCAAAGAGTTTTGCAAGATTGCTTTTAGAAGGCAGAAATTAGAAAACACCCGCGAGGAAAAAAAAAGAAAAGAAAAGAAGACAGAGAAGACAGACAGAGACAGAGAAGATTTGCTTTGGTTTATTTGATTACAGCAAAGCACACAAAGGTTATCTGCCTAGGAGGAGGGATGCCATCATGGAGGATTTTCTAAGGGAAACCGACTCATATCCGTGTTAGACATGGGGAAACCATGAAAATGCCCATACAGCGAGCCTGCTCACTTGGAATCAAACCCAGGTCAAACTACAAACCACAAAGTACAAAGGAAACAGGTTTAATGAAGCCACATACCACTAGTAAATAAAGAGATTTACTACGGGCTCAGAGAAGTTAATGATAAGTTTGGATCTGCACGGGAACAAAAATTATTAGATCCAGCTATTTTTAGAACAAGAAAAGCTGTAAATGAAAAAATAAAATAAACTTTAAAAAGCTCTGCAAAAACTTTAATACCGCTTAAGTTCACAAAATGTTTTATTCATTAGAAACAAGTGTAATAATATAAGTTAACACTTAATGCTAAATGGACATAAAACACTGCATGTGAAATTCTAGCATGTCCAATTTCAGTATATATTGGTCCAACAGCATTCAGCTACGTTCAAAAGTAACATGCAGTATCAACTGACACATTACATGCGAATATATGTGTATCACACATTCTAGTATAATTCAAATAATTACATCATGATGATATCTTGTCTTGTTATTTCAGATAGTTAAGAATAAAATATGTGGAAAGTTTATATAATTTTATTACAATACCAAAAAAGAAAAAAAGATTTTGAAGAAATTCGAAAATCTCCAACTTAAATGCCATCAAGGTAAACCCATTTGTGGAGAACACGAAGTACACAGTATTTTCCTCACTTTATTGCACCAAAGCAAAATTTTTCTCTACAGTCACGATGTTTGAAGCTGCTTTTTATTGTTAGATCTAGCTCCCCTTAGTTCCTATAAAAAAAAAACTGTGAACACAGAGGCCTAGCTTAATATTTTAAACAATTCAGCACTGCTCACATTGTGATAACGATTTCTAGGCCTATTCCTATTTCAACTAAATCATTCTTTTGTTTCAAGGGTGCATCCTACCTACTGCAGTTTTGCCAAAATAGATATTGAAGAATTGGACTGGCTTTGCCCATAATCCTTGAGCACCAGTGGACTGAACTGTAATGTCCGCTTTAAGCCAAGTCATACTGCCTTATTTTAGAAACACAACAAGTTACAGCTCATTCACAGCATGGTATTCATTCACAATTGCAGTATTCCAAAAATTAACAAACAATCCTAATAGAGTAACAGCTATCATCATAACAAAAAATGGCATATTATATTAATTTCTTACTTATTGTTACTTGTTTAACTAACATGTTAAAATATGCAAATAATTTTAATCACATATAAGCTGGAGTCGAGAAATTTTACCTGTAGTTTTAAAATGCATTGGCTTGCTTATGGGAGTCATTCCTTCACTTTGTGTTGTCATAGTCACTGTAAAAAGTAAAAATTTAATTACTATACAAATAAAATAAATATATGATAGAGTAAAAACTTATGTGATAACCATCTCCCACAGATGACCACCCTTGAAACTGGCCAGCATGTCTCAGAATAGAAATAATGGCAGAAAATATTACCAAGAATAACATTCTCTAAGGAGACCACTTTACAGAAGATCCAAATCTTCTGCAATCGTGGGTGGTCATCTTAGGTTGGTTTCACTTTAAAATTGTATTTAATGACATAGCATGAAAAGAGACAACAGAATAGTCACCTTTATGTTGCAGTTAGAAAAATTTACCTGGGATTTTGAGAGGTGATTCATTGTTCTTGCAAGTCATTTCTACAGGTTCTGGTATGAAAACTTCTAAGACAAATAATATATATATTTAAATAACATGTAAATAAAATAAATATAAAGTCTATAATTTTACTTACAGAGACAACATGAAAAACTAGCAATAAAAATGCCTCATAATAATTTTAAAGAAATGAAAGAAGCTGTCATTCCTGACATTATTGGAAACAGTGCCAGCAGATTCAACTATATAATATGATGTTTAAAATGAAGTAAGAATTAAAAAGAATCCCAGACTTAATTAAGAAAATAATCAGCCTGGAATGAAATAATGCGAACTGCTTTCAGCAGAATGTCATGCTTTGCATCCTGCTGCCTTTTCAAGTAAATTAACTTCCTGACCTCAGTTTTTTCAGTGTCATGCCCCGTTCATAAATAAATTACAAGTTTATTTACCTTTCCTCTATATTTAAATGTAATTTATAGAAATATGGCAGGCATTTTTAAAAGATATTCAACCTTTTAGAATAATAGATATTAATTTAAAAACAAAGCCACCATAAAATAAATTTTATTTTATTCATTTACATTATATATTTATAACACTCAGGGAACTGCTGAATACTTTTGATACAGGTTCCCCCAACATTAAGAAAGCAGAGTGCTCCCAAGAAATTTTTCATAATCCAAAGTGACATAATTATCAATTCATATACAAAAAATCTTCAGGTTCTCAGATCTTCCAAAATAAACTATGTAAGCATACATTATACTTCTTAACACCTGAAGTTACAATAAAAGATATACTGGTATCATAAAGACACAGACCATATAAATCCAAATAATATATATGCAATGTTGTTTCATCTTCCAACTTTAAAAAAAGAAAAAAAAAATAAGAGAGAGAGAGAGAGAGAGAGAGATTGAGTTAACTGGAAATCATAAAGTGGGTAAACAACAATAATAGGGAATTAAGCCATGAAAAATTCGGCAGTCAAAGATATAAAGCCTGTGAATAAAAGAGAGGAAATGAAGATCATTTATTAATATCTAATCATCATTTGCATCCATAAGACTGATGTGGTTACAGTTTCAGCACCTGCCTAGCCTGGGAACAAAGCTGAAATTTGTTGTGCTCTGGATGACATGAAAAGACTGAAGTAAGGTAGTATGCTTGGCTGCTAAGATTGATATTTTTTTTCACCTATGATATAATTCTTTGCAGGCAATCAAAATATTTTTTAAAAAATGCTATATCATGATTAGTCATACTTTTCTGGAATTACTGCAGAAAACAAATGCTGAACCGTATATATGCACTTTTCAGTCTTTCTTCATAACAGCAAAATGAGTCTTCAGATTTCTCTACTTAATCAAAAAATACAGCATTTTATGTCTTTCATGAAAACCAATATTTATGGATATGAAAAGAACTGTATTTATTGCAATACATTATATCAAAACTCATTTTACAGAGATGTTTTATAAATACTGAAAAAATGTTAAAAAACTGCATATTTTAATGAATTATAATCTAATTTTAAAATATTGTATAGACTACCATTAAAATTCATACACATGAAATTTTAATTGCAAGAAATTGGTAATTTTTACAATTAAAACACTAATTAATTAAATGCATAAAAAGTACAATACATAAAAATACATACAATAAATGCAATACAATACATAAAAGTACAATAATATAAAAAGTATAATCAGCTATTATTAGATCATAATTCCCTGTATTACAAAAATTAAAATGTCTTTTAAATATAATTTGATCAAGAAAAATATTTAGACGTTTGTTTATTTACAAAATTCCTAAACAAAAAGGAAGTAATACTAACTCAGCATACCTCACTGGCCAGGTATTAGGCTGTCTGGAAAATAATGCAGGTTTTTAACCTATATCTTTAAAGTATCATAACTCAACTCAAAAACAATTTTATTAATCAAAATAAGCACCAGACAAATCAATGCATTTTTGCCAACAAGGTATAAGTTTATTTGTGGCGGTAGAATAAGATTCTGGAGTTATGGACACAATAAAGTTGTCAAAGGCATTTTTGACCTCATCTTGGTTTCTGAAGCATTTCTTCTGCAGAATGTTATCCAGATGTTTAAAAAAGTGATAATTGGTCGGCGAGAGGTCAGGCGAATATGGGGGAGGAGAGAAAGTTTCGTATCCCAATTCGTTTAATTTCTGTAGGGTCAGTTGTATGACGTGCAGCCGAGCATCGTCATGGAGAACTGACCGCTTTCTGTTGACCAATGCTGAGCACATGCATTGCAATTTTTGGTGCATTTCATTGATTTGCTGACAATACTTATCTGCCGTAATCGTTTCACCCAGATTTAGGAAGCTGAGGTGGATGAGACCGGCTGCAGCCCACCAAGCAGTCACCATAATTTTCTTTTGGTGCAAATTTGGCTTTTGGAAAGTGCTGTGGTGTTTGACAGCGGTTCAACCACCGAGCTGAATGTCTCCGGTTGTTAGAGAGAATCCATTTTTCATCGCACGTAACAATTCGATCAAGAAAAGGATTGTTTTTGTTGCAGAAAAGAAGAACAGACGACACTTCAAAACGGTGATTTTTTTAATTTTCGCTCAATTCGTGAGGTACCCACTTATCGAGCTTCTTTGACTTTCCTATACGATTCAAGTGATCAGAAATCGTTGTTTTGCTTACGCCAAGCTCCTTCGCAAGCTTTCGAACAGTTGTGCACAGGTTTGTTTCAACTTAAGTCTTCAAGTCATCGTCATTAACAGCTGAAGAGTGTCCACGACACTCCTGATCTTCCAGGTCAAATTCTCCACAATGAAACTTTTGGTACTCATCCTGCAAAAATCTGGAAGAGTATTTAACATTTTTTTATTTAATTTGTTAAAAAAATTATTTTTTAATTTTTCTTCAGGGGGGTCACATCTTCATGTGCTCAAATAGAAGAGCCACCCACCACTGCCTACAAGTTCTGGATGTATATCGGGTTGTCCGGAAAATAATGTGTATGGTGTAATATTTTGAAACACTGTAAGCCTAAACACAAATTTCCAATTTCAAAAAACACTAACTGATGCAGCACTCATTATAAAACAAGTAAACATCTTCCAGGAATCATTAGAGAAAGAAAGGAAAAGAACAGACATAATGACAGAGGAGATATCGAAATAATATGAAACTTCAAGAAAAAGGAAGAGAGAAAATATTCTTATAAATAGAACTGTGGTAAATGAAGGTAGATAATGTTATCACAAATTAAGTAAAAGAGACATTTTGCTTTATTTCTTACTACTCTCCTGTTTCTCTTTTTAAAGCTTTAAAATTCAAGGCATATGAGAAAAAGTTTCCAACTCGGATTCTCTACCAAATGACGGATATTTGTTTCATGTTACAGAAGAATTGTTTGAAAATTGAACTTTGAGTAATTTACAGAAAGATCAGATTTCAGAAGTATGACTGGTGCCATTAGTTCAACAATTTATTACAAAAAACAATTTAACAAACTACATTTTCAGAGACCTACAAACTGTTGCTAACTATTGTTACAATTCCAATGACAACTGCTGAAGCTGAGATACGCTTTTCAACTTTAAAACGCATTAACACATTTTTGAGAAGCACTATGAATGAAGACAGACTCAGCAGTCTCACCATGTTCTCAATTGAAAAAAATCTGATGTGTGCACGATGACTTCCTTGTATGGAATATTAAATTATATCCATTTTTTCTTGCATTTCATTTAAACTTATTGCATTGAATGAAAGCTACTTCGTCGATAGCACATAAACCACAATAGAATAAATGCACTCTTTAAAATTCACTATATTTGTTTACCACAGTGACACTCTGGCCCTAGGTTCACTTAACAGCATCAGCATCACATTTCATTCATTTTTTAACTCAGAATGCACAAAATTTATATCATCTTAAGAATTATCTAATCGTTGCCATATGTCTATTCAAATACTATAATAAATCTAAAACGATGTATAAAAGGTATTATATATATAAAAGGTAAACAACAAGAAAATGAAACAGTTTTTCCAGAAACGATTCAGTATTTCTGATTCAATTAATTCAGTTCTCACTTCACGACAAGGCAAAAATACATTAAAATTCAAGATGTCTGTATTGAAAATTATGAAGTAAATCTTAAACACTTATTTCCTCAAATAAATTCTGGAATGAATTAAGCATGATTTAATTCGCAATAATAAAAGAAGGCGTTATCTTTTTTATTGTGAAACTTAATTTATCTAGATTGAATCTACTATTCTGCTGTTTCAAATGTAAACAAGCAATGGTCGCCATGGAAAAAATTATAAGGCTTAGCGGCACTTAAACAACTTTTTAATTGTTGATAATTCTAAAAACATTGCATACAGATTTACTAAAGGCATAAAAACCTTAGCTGGAAGAGAAGAACAACATAATTCAATCATTTTTGAAGCAAAAAATGTGCAACTTACAAACTAAGATCATTGAGCCAAGTAACAGAGTGGATATCTACATACATATATTTACATACTTTTGGTGCCGCTGATTGCAACCAAAATACGAGGTGCACATCTACATGTTATAGCAGTCCTATACACAAAATTTCAACGGTCTGAGGCTACTTGTTTTTGAGTTATGCAAGATACATACATACGTACGCACAGACACCACAAAAAATTCTCTTCAGAATTCATTTAAAATTTCCCAATTTTTTGGGAAAAAAAAGAGTCCTTTAACCTGTCCTTACATACAGATGCCATGCAAAAACATTGGTAAATTGCATTCGATAGCAGTGAAAATGGATATTTGCGTTGAAATATGATGCCTGAAACTTTTTGCGATTACAATACTTCCCTTTTACTTTGTACAAGGAAGTAAAAAGCATGACATATCTAAGTGCAATAAAAACGTTCGAAGAAACAATTTCAAAAAGTTGAAAGAAAAGATTTTAAAGAAAAAAAAAAAAAAAAAAGACAAGTGAATTTAATTTGCAAAAATTGTTCATGATTATTTTATAATCAACACTCCAAGATATATCGGGTGGCCATAATTAAACTGACAGTGCTCACAGTGTTCTGCAACACGATCTATTTGCGAGAATGACGCCACATTCTGTAGGAAGATTAAACAAGACGGGGGATGAAGGATTTCACGAAAAAACAAATTAGTTCCAAAAGTCACCGCTAGGGGAATATTTGGCGCTGTGTAATAGAAAATAGAGTGTTAACAAATGCAAATTAATACGGAATAAAATTACCTTTTATTATGCACATTTTCTGATTTCGTTCAAGTGCAATATGCCAACACTTTTAAAAAAGCGTAAAATCTCATAAACACCGATAAAGTCTCGTGATCTGCAATTTAATATCACGTACGCTGAGCAGAAGAAGAAGTTCTTTGTTCAAATTTCACGTTACATCCATTCGCCACAGTGCCAGCTGCTTGGGTTTTAAAGGCAATGTGTTATGTTTCGAATCAATCAGATTGAAAGTTTATGTGCAAAGTCTCCTTTAGTTGAGCGTGCATTACTGGTCAATTCTTTAGTCGAGCGTGCGTTACTGGTCAAATTCTTTTACCTCAAGCAGTGCAAGCGCGTCAGCCGCTCTTCGTGCTTTTAGAACGCACAAAAAAATGCATGAAAGGTAATGGTTCTGTGTCAGTCAATGGGCTAAAAGCAAATGGTTGCGATGTTTGAGAAAACAGGTTCTCTGAAGGTTCAGTCAGGCAGAGGACGAAAATCCTGTACCACAGGATACAATCGAAGTAGTTGCCATGGCGATTGTCGACAGAAGAACCAGACAATATTGCTGCCTCCTCTAGCGCTTGTGGAGTAGCTCGGAATATGAATATGTCTTACAGTACAGTATTGAAGAACTTACGAAAGATTATCAACTTCTTTCCGTACATGATCAGCCGTGTACAGGAGTTACTGTACCCCGACCATGATAAGCGATTGACTTTTGCTCTCACCTTTCTTGCCAGAATGGAGGTGGATGATACTCGGCCGTGGAAAATCTTATGGGGAGATGAGGCCCACTTTTACTTGAATGGAACTGTGAATACCCAGAACTGCCGAATTTGGGATGACAAATCACCACATGCAGTCACAGCAATTCCCTTACATTCACCAAAGGTAACTGTTTGGTGTGGGTTCACAGCGGAATTTATCGTAGGTCCATTCTTCTATGAGAACATTACCCCGACAGGACCGGAAACCTGTTCTGTTACCGGAGAGAAATATCGCCACATGTTGAATAGCTTTGTCATTCTGGCACTTCAGCAAAGACAATGCCTGGGGAAAATCATTTTCTCGCAAGATGGAGCCTTCTCCACACATTGCTGTACGGGTGCAACAGATGCTAGACAGAAATTCACAACAGAAAGAGTCATTAGCCGCTACTTTCTAACTGCATGGCCACCTCGGTCGCCTGATCTTACCCCATGTGACTTCTGGCTATGAGGTTGCCTTAAGTCCAAGGTCTATCAAAGAGTGGTCCAGGACCTGGCTACGTTGCAAGATAACATATCACGGACTGTACGGGAGATTCCTGCAGACATGTTACTTTCTGCTGTTCTGCATACTGTGCACAGAATGCAATATGTGGTCCACAACAATGACAGCCACAGTGAAGCTCATTTGAATGCAAAATAAAAGGTAATTTCCGTATTGATTTGCATTTGTTAACACTCTATTTTCTATTACACAGCGGCAAATATTCCCCTAGCGGTGACTTTTGGAACTAATTTGTTAAACTAACTTGTTCCCCGTCTTGTTTAATCTTCCTACAAAATGTGACGTTATTCTAGCAAATAGATCGCACTACAGAACACTGTGAGCACTGTCAGTTTAATTATGGCCACCCGGTACTTTAATCAATATTAAGGTTTTATTACATTCTTTAATCAATATTATGGTTTTATTACATTCCATTGTAAGAAATAAAATGTTGCAATTTTCTACCTATGAGAACTTTTTTTAGTTACATTGTTCACTTTTAATTTGTGAAATAAAATATTGCAATTTTTTACCTATGAGAACTTCTTTTAATTGCATTGTTTCTTTTAATTTATGAAAATACAAATGTATTTTAACTTGTAAGTTACACCATATCTGCATATTTAATTTTCGAGATTTGTCTCTTGAACCTTCATTTAAACAATCCATGAGCTGCCACTGTTTGTAAGTTATGTATTATAATAGTATATTAGCTCGTCATTGTAAAAATGTATTTTCATTCATTCACAAAAGCATCTGCTATCACTGATTATGGATACTGCACTATATCACATTTAGCTTTCAAAGATGTTTAGTATATTTCAAAATAAGATAAGTGTTCTGCTTGTATTATCCTCCCCAAACAAATCTGACCCTCATCTATAATACACAAAAAGATAGTATTGAGAATGCCAGACGAATCAACAACATTAAAGCTGGTGCCACAGAAACTAGCAGAACAGTTTCAGTAAGATGGTTATTCAAGTTAGTTTCACATATGGCACAATATACCACAAAAATCAAAAGCCTCAACATCCCTGGCCTCGTCAACTTTTTCAGATTCCTAAGTTAAGCTTGGAATTTTATAACTTTGATATTTGTATTCCACTAATACAGCACTCTCTGTTGCAAGCGGTATCTCAGATTTGTTAAAAACCTCATGGGTAGAATAAATGAAGTTGTCCAAACTTTAATGACAATAAAATGTATATATTTATAATATAACATTTAATATAATGATATTTAATAATTGACCTCTTGTCAAGTCTGTAATAAAATAAATCTAACATTAAGAGAACAAAACATTTCACACCCCTTTCTGTGATATATATGCAAGAAAATACAACATGAAAATTTATTAAATAAATAATCTAAGTGAAATACATTTTTCACTTAAATTATTTTATACTTACTTTTCCCCAAATTAATGTCCTTATTTTACAGAAAACTATTAATTACAAATTACATGAGTTAAAAAATATTAGTGGTGGTGACATGAATAAGTTTTTGAAAACAAATGCTTAAAAAAATGTAAAATGTAATGCCTGAATTTTAAATCACATTTATTTTAATACTTATGCCACATTTTAAGATAATACTGCAATTATAAATTACACACACACACACACTCAAAAAAAAAAAAAAAAAAAAAAAAAAAAGCAGGAACTCTAATTATTAAAAGCTGCATATTTTAATTTTTTAAATACTTTTTTTACTCTTTAATTTGATTTTTTACATGTGTTGATTTTATCATTTATTTTTAGTTAATTTCACTTGACTTCCAAGATGACAATTATTCTACAGCAAGTTTCAAAATTATTTAAATTCACTACTATTTTTATTTTTTAATTCTTAAAAATTTTCTAAAATACCTGTTTTTGATATAATTATTATTTAAAATTTCATGTTCATCGAAAGATGAAGAAATTGTAAAGCAAGATATATGCATTACTTTTCTCACAAGAAGCTTCTAGACAACTCATCTCATGCTGTAAAAATGAAACCATTGAAGGAGAATCTGCATAAGGATTCTCTTTAACGCATAAGGATTCTCCATCTGCTCCTGGAATTTGTGTCTTCAAAGCTTTATCTCTACTTTCAGTCAAATGCAGGGTCATTTCTTCTACATCATCAATTGGGTCAGTATATTTAGCAGAATTTGAGCTGCACAGGTCTGAAAGAGCTCGGGGTTTTTCTATTGAATCTAGTGCAACACTGAACTGTGAATTAATGAGCGTCAAATCAGGTTCTTCCATGATTCCAGGTTCCTATAAGTTGACATATTATTCATATTTCAAAATCAAGCTGACAGAAATCTTAAAAATACCTTATAAATGCATTGTCACATTTTCCTCTATATACACAAAATGCTTCCTAAACATTTCTATAAATATTTTCGAAACAGTGCCACCACAGTGTATCAGGTGCCACCACAGTAATGCTACAAGTGATATAGCCACTGGGCATAATAAATGTTTTGATTAGTTTAAATTAACACAGATTAATAAAATGAAAAATATAAATAATATAGCTCAAAAATTGTAGTGATCAACTTCTTTCATATATACATTATTTCATCAAAATTACTTCATTTTTTAACTGGATTAATTAACAAATTACATATGTAAATGCTTAATAATACAGAAAATTTAGGGGGAAAAAATACCAGCTTATTATTTGAATTTTTTTCCATGGGTGATAATTAGAGAAAAAGAAGCTATGGAAAGATACCAAGTGTAATATCAAAAAAATTCTATAGCCATATATGCTATTTTCTAAACAGGAATTTTGTTGAGGAGAATGAACATCAGTTTCATGATAATTTTTTTTAAATTAAAACTAATAACAATTTAAACTTTACCCAGCAGCTTAGTCTACTTCTAAAATAAGAATTAAAAATATACCTAATTCAATATAATGAAATATTAAATCGGATTAAAGTTAAATATTAGAGTAAATATTTTTTCTTTATTCAAAATTTTCTAAATCCAGATGTATGCATGTATGTATGCACATATACATATATGTGTGTATATGCACACATGTATGTATGCACATATACATATATGTGTGTATACATACATATATGTACATACATACATACCTACATACATAGATTCAAGTTACATTAATGTGAAAGAACATCTTGAATATTTCACATGTGTTAAATAACTCATGACATAAGGCATGAATTACCTACAACTCACTCAAGGATTATTAACTATTAAGCTGAAAGTTTGTCTCATTGGTAAAGATGATTTCCTCAAAAAACTGCTCAGCTTTTTATACGTAGTTTTATATAAGTAGCTGACAATTTTCTGGCACTTCAAACAATTGGTTTGTAGCAGTTATTGTTTCAGTTTACACTTTAAAGGATGAGGATGCAAAATTTTCCATGAGAATATGCTTAATTTGATTTTTGAAATGTCCAACTATTAAGAAATGTGGACAATCAAAATTCCTTGGCCCTATAACATTTTCGTTTGCTATAGCACTGTTTCTGAAAGTAGCCACTTTAATGATTCATAAGAGCTTTATTGCTTATAACTAAGCTTGTTTTGGATTTCATATATCAGCAGTTCCATATAATTAATCAGTACTTTTTTAAATGCTGACCAATTTTGCTGCATAATTTTCAACTAAAAATACTACAGATTCTGTGTAATTTTCTCCAAATTTGAAACATATTTTTACAATAAAACCCTTCAGATAACATTCAAAGATTATTAAACACAATATATTTCTATGCATATATGAGTTGCAGTGCCAGCAAATTTACAAACCTAAAATCGCATGATAGTTAAATCTTGGCTTCATTTTGAGGAAACAAATATAGTGATAGAGAATAATATTTTCTTGACATAAACTAACAAAAGAATAATGTAAGTTTTATAAGGGGGGAAGAGGACAATATGATTGTTTCAAAACAAGTGGATGTGAATATAGAAATAGTTTCATTTCCTGAAGTTACAGATATAGAGATAATCAATCATAAAAATGGCTAGAGATAATCAATCATAAAAATGGCTAGAGATAATCAATCATAAAAGTGGCTAAGTTTCTCAAAAACAATGTGTAAGGTTTGACTTTCAATTCTGTAGAAGTTTTCAAAGATGTTTGTAGCAAAAATGATTCATTTACAATCAACTTCTGTTTATCAGGGGATAGATTAGCTATGTTTTGTCTATATAAAAAAATCTAAGGTTTTTTTTCTGTTAACAAGACTGGATTCAGAAATGTATGTATGCGTGTGTATACATACACAAATATATGCACATACATTTCTGAATCTGGCTCTATTAACAGAAGAGTACCAAATCTAATATTGTTTATTGTGGAAAAGGATAAATGACTATCACAAATTAACAGAATAAAAGAAAACTGTTTTTAGAAAATACAAAAAGAAAAAAGATATTGCAGAGCCAAAAGCAGTGACAGCATATGTTATTACAATATATGGAAGTTATTTCTTATGCAATAGTATACAATTTAATTGTTGATAATCCAGAATGCATAAGCATTAAATCATTTGTTAAAAGCAAATTTTGCAACTTTAAAAATAAATCAAGTGTACACAGAATAATCTTCTGCTTCACACTTTGAAATACAACAGCAATTTCAACATAATTAAACAGCAGGTACACCGGTAAGTGAGGAAGGGACATAGACAGGGAGAGGCAAAAATGATGAAAGAAAGACGAATGTCGATAAGATCAGTCGAAGGGCAGTAAGAACTCTGAATACTGATATAACTTATCTAACCAAATGAATTTATTCTCTCAACTAAACTGCTTTAAAATGCAGACAAATTGTTAACATTATTTTTTTATAAATAATACCATTTTTCTCTTTCCTCAGTTTTTTTTAACTATATCTGAATTAAGCATGAATGTCATTTCCTATATTACCCTGTTTAGTCTGGAGTTTATTAAAGACTATTTTTGTTTTTGATGAAATTTTCATGTACACACCGAATCCCCCCCTCAAGGACAATTCCATATATCCCGTTCTACTCAGCCGATAGACAAAATTCGACTTCAATTTTTCATGTCTCAAAGCATGACTTAGGACATATATTACATTTATATATAGCAATGTTCTAACATAGGTATTCTGACATAAAATAGGACTTTTCCTGAAATAACATACTGATTCTTTTCCATATTTCGATCCTACACCACATATTATGCCAAAGTGCCAAGTTTCATAAACATAGCCCAAGTAGTTTCTTAAAAATTGGGTCTCAAAATTTTGCTCCTCAGTGGAAGTTGGTACATATTTATAATTATCTTTTATTTATTCATTTATTTTATTAAACTTAGTTGATTCTTTCCTTCAGAATTCGAAGTTTAGGTTCAATCCAAATAAAATTCAAACATTTTTATGATTTATTTTTAAAATTTATATTTTGAAATAACTTTTATAAGTTTTTTTTTTTTTTTTTTTTTTTTTTTTTTTTTTTTTTTTGAATTAGAAGCTTTAAAACTTTTACCATTATCGTAAAGTAGATGTATTTCTAAGCATACCTACAAAACAGAGTTTTTTACTCAAAATTTCCCAAGATATATGTGAATTTATGTATTGTAGCATTTTGAAATTTGGCATATTTGTTATAAGAAATAATAATGCAAAATGTGGTTAAGCACTTTGTTATAATCTTCAATGAATTGCAACAGTTACTTTTAAATTTTAAATTTTCAAACAAATTCCTACTGAAGATTATTCATGGGGAATTTCTTTATTTTCAGTTTTATTAATAATGCCTAATAAATATTTTATTAACACATGAGAAGCTATTTTAATTTTTTTTAAATATTAATCAAACGTCTGAAGACCCCCCCCCCTTTTTTTCGTTTCTAAGAGTAAATCTTTAACTTTGCCATTCAGTTTTCTATTTTACTTTTAACTTTATTTTATATGCAGTGAAATTTATTTTGCTGATTTCAAAATTATGCATTATATGTGCATTCAATATTTCTGAGTAATGTCAAACAATGCATCAAAAATATAAGTAAAACATGCTGTCTTCTACAACAGAAGTTTTTAATATTGGCAAAATTTACTTAGAATGTTAAGATTTTTACCTTGTTTTCGGTGTTTAGCAATGGCAACAAATAACAATGATTCTGAAAATGCTTTATGTCCAAAGATATTTCGTGTCCTTTACTGCATAATAAATTTCATAAACAATATGTTTACGCTTAAAAGGTACCTAATTATCATGAAAAACCCTTTTTTTTAAATCGAAATATATTTTTATGTATGCATAGGGTTTAATAACACATTTTATTATGTCAAATAAGACCTGAATTCTAATCATTACACTAGATTTTGGCGAGTTTCCGATTTTCTTAGTTTAGAAATCCTACACAAATTACATTACTGTGCAAAACTTAAGCAACAGGTGTTCTTTTTGACATAAATCCACGAGATATCATCTGAGAGACATGAAATTCAGAAATAAGAGACAGCATTTTGTATTTAAATGATGACAAAAGCATAATTGCGCAAAAATGAATACAATGCATACAGTATGGAATTAAACAAAAACAGGCTTTATTGAACTCATAGTATCGTTACACATGATTGTCTGTACAAGGGGAAGAACAACAAGCAGATGTTCCTTAGTATGAGATATGCCCTCCCCTTACTACAATATTTGCTTCTCACCGTCTCCCCACACTCAGCACCAGATTGTCCAACAGATCTTGATGTGAGAGTGCCCATTCCTCAATCAGCATCTGTTTCAGTTGTTGGGTGTTCGCCGGAGGATGTAATCGTGCCTCAAGGCATCTCCCCAAAGCATCCCATACATGTTCTATGGGATTTAAATCAGGGGAGTATGCTGGCCAATCCATTCGAGTGATATCTTCACTTTTCAGTAGCTTCTGAACAGCAGGAGTCCGGTGTGGCTGTGCATTGTCATCCATAAAAACAAAGTCTAGTCCAATTGCACCTAGGAACAGACGCACATAGGGAAGGATCACCTCCTGACAATAGCGATCTCCAGTTACAGAACTTCTGTCGAAAACGTGGAGCTCTGTCCGCCCGTTCAGCATAATGTCTCCGCAGACGAGATCTCCAGGACACCGTAATGGTCTCTTTCCGTGAGGTTACTGAGATTAAACCGTGTCCTTACCTCTCTCCAAACAAGTTGGCATTGAGAATCGCTTGAGGCACTAAAACGATTCTCATCCGTAAGAAGGGCATGACTCCATTGATGAGATGCCTAGTTTTTGCGCTCCTTGCACCACTCCAAACGGTGGCG